CCTGGGTTTTATAGAACTTCTCATAAAGGACAGAGCTTTCAGGGTCCAGGGTCCTGGGACAAGATAGAAGAGAGCTGTGGAAGGCAGGAAGGAATCAGCAAATACTGAAGTGTTTCTTTACAGCGGAAGAGAAAAGGCAAGTAGCCTTTAGTATGGACTGAATGTGTCTGTCCCCCCAGATTCCTGTGCGGAAGCTGTAACCCCCAATGGGACAGTATTTAGACATGGGGCTTTTGGAGGTACCTCGGTTTAGATGAGGTCATGACGGCGGGACTCCCATGAGGAGATCAGGGCCCTTCTAAGGAGAGGAAGAGACCAGAGATCTAGTTCTCTCTCTCTCCCTCCCTCCCTCTCTCTTGCTCGCTCTCTCTCTGCTGTGGGAGCACAGAGCAAGAGCACGTCTGACTGCAGGCCAGCAGGAGAGCCCACACCAGAAAAAGAATCAGCCAAGACGTCCATGTTAGACTTAGAGACTCCAGAACAGCGAAATAGACTCCCGTTGTTTGAGCCGCCCACTTGTGGGCGATAGATGTGGTTTGCTCGAAGGACTGGTCAGTGACCTAGTGAGCTCACGCGCTGGAGGCAGTTCACACCGGCTGGGAGATCACCCGTGAACCTGTCCTCTCAACTCCGTATTAGTGATGTGTTGGCAGCTTGAATTCAGCCGTGGTAGGAGCATTTACACGAGGGGAATAGGGAACACTCTTTGCTTACTTAAGATTCTTAGGAGAATCAGCTACTCCAGATTCCCGGGCATGCCATGGCATCAGCTAGATGAAAGACTTGTGGGAGCGGAGTTTCCTGGAATTCTCACGTTCGGAATCAACCTTAATTTCTCTTGTTGCTGTTTCTGTTTTAATGACTAGTACACAATGGCATTCTTCAGTTCTCTTTCGCGACCCGTCCAGAATTACTGTTCAGCTTTTGTGGACTCTCGTGGCAAACTACCCATCACTTAAAGCGTTGTTTCGATTGGGAAATACTTCCAAGTTTGCAAGTTACTGACTTTAAACTTTTGGAAAAGAGCCCATTTGTGGGCGAGGGGCTTTCAGTTCTGGGTCCTTGTGGGGAAGTGAGAGAATGAAAAGACTCAGGATGATTTTTAAAATACAGGTTGCAAGATATAGCCTAAGCAAAAAAGGCAAAAAGAAATGGAATTATTGAGCGTGAGGAAGAAAAGATGAGGGGCAATTTAGTAACGGGGTGAGTACCAGCTGCTTGCCTTTCCACGTTAAATATCGGGGATTTGGTCAGACAAGGAGAAGAATATCTTTGTGGTAATATTCTGGGATGGGCAGTTTGTGGATTTTATTTCAAATATTTGCAGACTTCTTTTCATCAATCGGGGTCCATTTCGAGAATCAAGAAATGATTACATGGTTGCTTGCCTGCCTCAAGGTTCCTGTCAAACTTAGAATCCTGAACCTACAGATTTCGGACTGTAGCTCGGAATTTCGGGAAACATGATCTAATTCCACAGATCTCTTTTGTAATACATCTTAGAATAATGAAATTCCAAATTTATCATTTTTTTTTCTATCCAAAAAAATGAATATCCTAAAACTTAAGCTATCTCGTCTTAGTATAAAACCGTACATTAAGCATTGTACATCAGTAATTTTTGATCATCCAATGAGGGAAAGGACGTTGTTTGGAGCGTGTTAAATTAGTGTTATTTTAGTTTTTCCTTCAGGAGGGATGGGAGTGTTCCTTTCCTAAGTGATATTCCACACCCTGATTTGGCATTTCCTTAAAACCGTCTGAAGCAGTGAAATGACGGCTATAAATCTGCCACTTGGAAACTGAGATGGTTCACAGCACTCCCAGGCCCTGGTTTAACAGTTGGTTTATGACGTGGTTGCAGAATAACACTGTTAAGCGTGATATTTTCCTTCCTCCAAAACCGACATGAATCCATAAAGCTTTTTAACGATGACTCTGAAATACACCACAAGTATTGTCTGTGGCATATTTTTCAGTTTATCTAAAATCCTTTGCTTTCTGAATTTCTCTTCATGATCTGCCCTGGAAGGACGGTCGCCCCTGGGGCTGAACGAGGCGTCCTGTCTCAGCCTGACAGGCCCGCTCAGCTCCCTGCCCCGCCAGCGGCGCTCCCCTGCCCTGGCGTTGGCTCCCGGGGTCTCGGTCTCCTGTGGGCATGAGCATCCTCTGGGGATTCGGTTACACGTGCTGGTTCTTGAGACCCTCTGAGTCAGACCCTCGGAGCCAAATTCTGGAGCTAGGCCTGGGGACCAGCATTCTGACAGAGAAGTGTCATTGGGGACTCGGCTGGGCCCACGATCTGGAAGGGCAGTGACTGGGGAGAGTCTGGCTCAGGGAAGCCCAGGTTCCGGCTGGTGATACGGGCATCTGTAGCTCGGTGCCCAGCACCTGCAGCTTTCCCTGCTTCCTCGACCTCTGCAGCCCAGAACCCCTCCCTACACGCAGGAGCTTCGTGCCTCGATCTTGAGTTTCAAGTGCCCTATTCGTGTATCTTGTCCTCTACCTTGTCCCTTTCTGTCTGCCTGTGGCTTGTGTGTACTCTGGCCTTGATCTCATGCCTTCCCTCCAGGCACCAGGTCCACCTCTTCTCCCCTGCATGGCCCAAAGAGCTTCTCAGATAGTGACCCCCTCATCCTCTGGGAGAACCTCTCTGTGGCAAAGGGAAGCCTTTGGGGTGTCTGCGGCAGGTGACCGGCCCTGTCTGCTCTCTTTGATTGCCCCCCGCGCAACCCCCACCATCCGTCACAGCAGCTCAGAGAACGTCACAGAATATGTCCGTCTGTCCCACCAGGCTCTGAGCTGCTAAGGGCAGGGCTCACCTCTTTTTAGTTACTGTTTCCCCGACGCCCAGCCTCAAGTGTAGTGGGACACTTGAGAGTCTTGCCTAGACAACTGATGTTGTAAGAAGAGTACGTGACTCTCACCCAAGGCTTCATGCCTCTGGTCGCACTGTCCCCGCTCCAAGTGTGGTCACGTGCTTCTCCCTCAACTCCCAAGCTGGTCTCCCCTTCCGCCTTTACAAAGCTACTGCCTCTGGCTGTTTGGATCCCATGTTCCATGCCTTTTCCCCCCAGACTTCCTTGGCCGGTGCCCCTCACGTTCCAGAGCCCCTGTATTAAGTGGCCCTGCGCCCACCACAGTGCTTCCGGTGATGCCTGGTGGTCTGGATGCCCTAGTTTAAGGGCTTCCTGGGAGCAGCGATGGTAACCTCGGGGCCCAGCGGAGTGCCTGGCGTCCCAAGGGGACTCGGCAGGTGTCTGCTGAAAGCCTGGGAAAGCCAACTCAGGACCTTCCAGGCAGTGAGATGGGGGTTCTTATCACATGACCTGCTGTGTAAGCCTCCATGACACTCACCAGAAGGATTTCAGATTGTGGATGTGTCCCCTCCCATGCCCACGGCTGGACAGGACAACCTCAAGGTGGCAGCGACCGTATTATATGCGTCTGACATCCCAGTGAGTCGGTCAGTGACTCGTGTGGGTTGCGTATTCAATCCTGGGCTTCCCATCAGGGGCACCGTCAGCGTTTGAGCAAGACAGTTCTGAATTCTGTAAGACTCACATACCGCAGGCTGGTGTTAACAGGTTAACAGGCTGGTTAGCGGGTTAACACAGCCCAGATCCACCCACGGTGCCTGACTCCCTGATTCACGACGCCGTGCCCACCCTGGTGGGTTCTACGGGCAGTGAAGTTTGAGAACTCCTTCCAGAAGAGCACCAAAGAGGGCAGGGGAACCGTAACTGGGAGACCAAACAAAGCTTGTTAGGAACCTCAGCCTTTCGTCCTGACGTAGGAAATGATTTTGGAACTCTGAAGAGCATGCAATGGGAGAATCAGTGGAGGAGCCTGTTAGCGGGGCGCCTGGGGGACTCAGTCAGTTGGACGGCTGCCTTTGGCTCAGGTCATGATCCTGGGGTCCTGGGGTGGAGCCCCGAATTGGGCTCCCTGCTTGGCAGAGTCTGCTTCTCCCTCTGCCCCTCCACCCACTAATGTGCTCGCTAGTTCTCTCTCTCAAAAATAAATAAATAAAATCTTTGAAAAAAAGGGGGGGCAGGTGTCTAGGTGGCTCAGTCATTAAGCGTCTGCCTACAGCTCAGGTCATGATCCCAAGGTCCTAGGATTGAGCCCCGAATTGGGCTCCCTGCTCAGCAGGGAGCCTGCTTCTCCCTCCACCCCTCCCCCCACTCATGTATGCACATGCATGTTCTCTCTCTCTCTCCTCTCTCAAAAATAAATTCTTCAAAATAAAAAGGAATCAATTAGCAATGATTAGGCCATTGACAGAGACCAATGAAGGGTTAGTGACTGTTCTTCTGATTTAATAATAATAATAATAATAGATACAATTTACTTTGTGTTGATCATTTCACATTATCTTTTATTGTCTCCCGTTCACCTATAAAATACTGAGGCCCAAAGCAGTTGGTTAAGTAACTTCCCATAAAGCCACACAGTAATTAATTAATGGTCATATTTGAGCCCAGTTGTCTCAAACTTCACGTCTTACGATTTTAAGCTTCCTGGTACCTCCTCAGGGGCTGGTCGAGGGCTCTCCTGTCTCCTGTGCAAACATCCAGAACAACTCCAGTCTCAAAGAGGAAGCCCGTAAGCTCCTTAAATTGTTGTTCGTGTTAAACCACTGCCTTTTCAGGGTGCTTCTTCAACCTAAATCAGTTATTTGGCCTAAGCCCTATACATGAAAATTCTTTCTGGTATGATTTCAGTTTCTTAATTTTTATTAATATATATATATATATATCTTTTTTAAATTTACAGATCTGCGTGCTCTATTACATGCTACTTCTTTTGGGGGGGGGGGGTGAGGGGGATAGTTGATCCACGTTGATGAAATCAGGCCCATCTCTATGGACAGTAGCCCCATCCGATCCCGTCCTGGAGGCAGGGCCTGCCTTCCGTGAACAACGAGCTTGAAGTGTTGTCAGTATCGGCGTCCAGTTCCCCTCATTTGTCAATCTCCACCCATTTTGTTTCAACAGATGTTGGCGCATTTTTTGAAGAGGGGATGTGGCTACGGTATAACTTCCAGACATCGGGGGTCAGCAGCAAAGAATCGGGCGTCAGGTCAGACAGCTCCCCTGATCAGCAGAGTGCCCCTGCCGACCTGGCACATGAGGGGATCCGCTTCAGCTTCAGTACCTCCAAGGCACCCTGCATTCTCCTCTACGTGAGCTCCTTCACGACAGACTTCCTGGCAGTGCTCATCAAACCCGCCGGTAAGGACAAGCATGCCTAGCCTCTGCTAATATTTAATGTTGGGTGAACGGAATGTTCTAGAAAGTCTGGGTTGCTCTGGTCTTGTCCTTTATTCTCTGTAGGACGCTGAGGGAGTCATCCAATGTCTTTGAACCTCATTTCCCTATGTGAGAGCCAGGGAGGCATCTTGTCAGTGTCACAGTAGTGATGTCGCTAAGGCATGTCAGGTTCGTTATGGGAAGCATATTACATGAATATGAGGTTGTTTCATATGTATAATGATGATTTTTTGTTCCTCTCAAATGAAGACATGCACTGCTGTACTAAATAGAGATGAGCTCTGAAGTAGTAAAATTAATTTAATATAAATCAATGAGGTATCCTGATGTATGATAATGTATCAGTAGGTTCCTTCAGAACATATGTAGCTTTCCATAGAAATGGAAAACCAGAGATGTTTTCATTCCTAAACCCTCTCAGAATGTTACACGCATAAAATACATCCCTGGCGTAAGGCTGGGTTAAAGCAGAAGTATATTTACCACCTTGATTTGCAAATATGCATGGAGCCCAAGAGGGTCAGAGTGAGACTAAAACTGGCATCTTGTGAGAATAGCCAAATGCACTCATGACCTTTCAGAGAAGGCTGAGCAGTTCTGGAACACAGGAGCGTGCCCAACACTGAGGGGCCATTCCTCTCAGAAAACCTGAATCCTGAGACACTTAAAAGTTCTTGGGGTGCCTGGGTGGCTCGGTTGGTTAAGCCTCTGCCTTCGGCTCAGGTCATGATCCCAGAGTTCTGGGATCAAGCCTCGAGTCGGGCTCTCTGCTCAGCAGGGAGCCTGCTTCCCCCTCTCTCTCTGCCTGCCTCTCTGCCTACTTGTGTTCTGTCTGTCAAATAAATAAATAAAATCTTTAAAAAGAGAAAAGTTCTAAGAAGATCACTTTTTCCCAAACAAGAATATTGTGAGTTGATCAGGGAGTGAATCTCTCTCATTCATTTCCCAGAGCAATGACATGGGCTGAGGATGTGGAGACGCTTGTCTCATTGCCCACACCTCCTGGCTCTGCACGGAGTATTCCAAAGTCTTAGCTTCGTAAAGATCAGAATTCTCTTCTGCGGGAGCAAAAATTATTATTACAGATCCAGGCCAGCTTGAGTTTGAAAACATAGTAAATTCTTCAGTTTCTCTGGTCAATTCATTGTTGGTTAAAAAGATTGGGGGCAGAGGGGATATTTCCTAAGATTTTCCTTTTCAGAAATTATTCCTAACGAAATAAGCCAAAAACCAGACAAAGAGGCAGCATCAGAATGTTCCTCTTAGTGTTATTTATAAAAATAAGCATTAGGAAGGACCTACAAAAGTTCAACTATAGTAAAATGGTTAGTTAAAGAGGGAGTCACCATTTTAAGGAATATTATGTATTCATTAAGAATAATACTTAATGTGGAGCAGTGGAGAAAAATGTATGGAGGAAAAAAAAACTATGTACTATAATGTTAAACCAAAAAAAAAAAGAAGAAGAAGAAGAAAAAGAAAGAAAAAAGGCAAGACAGAGCCTTGACTATACAGTATCGGCTTAGATCTGTGAAAAATAAAGATGGAAAACAGAAAGCGATAATATGAGCACAAAGTAGTTCTTTATGGTGGATTTGCTTCTCCTGAATAATATTCTTTGATAAATATCAAATGCTCACAATGAGCAGGCATTGCTGTTGTAATCAGAAAAGATACTCCTACTCCTTAAGTCACTGCCGCATCAAACCCAGTCCCCGACTGCAGCGGGAACTCACCTTCCCATAAGCTACCCTCGTCCCCATGAGCACTCATGCTGGTGTCTCGGGGCGTTCACCGCATGCAAGGGTTTTGAATAATCAATTCATATTGGTGCTATCATTTAATGGTGCCCGAAGGTGGGCTGTGTTGCACACGCATGAATTCCTACAAGCCACACAGCCACGAGGTAGATATCATTCTTTATTCCCTGTCAACAGATGATAAAACTGGGGAGTATGGAGAGGCTGAGTGACTTGCACACTGAGCTGGTGAAGGCAAAACCAGGATTCCTAAGCTCAGGCGTCTGATTCCAGGCCCCGAGACCTCCTCTGCTCTCTCCATATGGCAGAGATCTCTAGCACACCCCCAGCGCGTTTGGAAAGCAGGACCAGTCGGTTTCTTGAACTTTGCAAGGCTGTCTTCAAACTGCTGATGAAAATGTGGTTTTGTTCACACTTCAAAGACTGCATTTTTTTTTTATTAATTAGCATTTAAAGTTAGAAAAATGTGAAGAATTGGTTCAGGAAAAAAATATCAATAAGTTCTATGCCAAAATGTCAGGAAAAAAATTAAAAACCAGAAAGTCTTCACTAAATGTCCCGGCATCCCTCATACTTAACATATTGAAAGTCGTAGCACCGTCACGGTTCCCCCAAGATGGGCCCCTCCCCAGACCTCAGCTTCTGCCAGGGCTCCCCCCTGCAGACCCCCAATTCCCAAGTGTGCTGTCATTCACAAATGCGCCGTCCTTCCCCTTTGGGGGGCCACCCAGGCAAACAAGGACTGCAGAGTCTAGTCACACTGTGTCCCTCAGGGGGATCTCTCTCTTTCCTTCCCCACTGCTGGTCTCCTCACGAACGTCTTCCAGCTTCGCTCCTGCCGTGGCACATACAGGTTATTACATGTGAAATGGCACTTGAGTAAATGGACGAGGCCATTTGCATTCAGGAGGCCACCAACCTGGTGACTCCAGCAACCCAGCCCACTGAGGGTCTGCCGAGGTCTGAGGGGCGCCCAGCTCCTAGAAGAGCATTAGTCCCTTCGTGGAAGAGCAGTGCGCCTCACACCCATCCCTCTCCCTTCTTCTGGTCCCTCCCTGCTCGCTCTTACGCACCACGGCCTCCCCTCAGCCGCGTCCCTCATCACGCCTCCAGTAGGGCTCTCCTCCTCCCAGGAAGGGCAGAAGAAATCCCAAATCCCACATCCTGCCTGTGGCTCCGGAGTGAGGTCTCCCAAGGGGACAGCTCCGAGTGTAGAACCAGAAAGTCTGGGTTTGAATCTGCTTCTGCCTTGTGCAGGGTGTGCGACCGTGACCGTGGGCAGTTAGCCCTTCCGTGCCCAGGGCTCCCTCGTGTGAAATATTGTGAAAATGGCACGAGTCAGTAAGGGGGAAACAGGACCCTGTCCCCATGCGGTCTGCCATCCAGGGACGTGTCGCAGACACTGCGTAAGCGTCAGCCGTTACTACCAGCCCCGGCCCACAGATTTAATCCACATCCTGCCACGTATTCAGTGCCACCCAGCCCTGCTCCTCCTCATTCTTCTCCAAGCTCACGTGACACCCCGCCCCTGCCCCCCGCCGTGCTCTTGTACCTGGAGGAGCTGCATCTGCCTCTGGGCGCTAACACCTGCCTTTCATTCCAGAGCCAGACCGATCTCCCCTCCTTTCAGTGACTTCTCCTTACTTTAGACTCCCATTCTGCTTACTTTCCATGGCATTTACTGTACTGTTGTCTGTCCTTGTTACAAATACTCGCTGTCTTCCCAGCGAGATGGGAAGCCCCAGCACTACATTTCCTGCCTACGATAGGTGCCCCGTAAGTGTTTGCTGCTGATAATGATGATGGCCAGGAGGGAATAAATCTGTTCAGCCCATTATTTGCTGTAGCCAATAAAAGAGCCGTCCCTTATAACCGCTTTAATTCACTTGGGAGATGAACGTGAGATGCAGGAAGTGAAGTATTTTTCCATTTTAATAATATTTTATATTAATGGAAAATATTAATATTCTCCCACCGCCATTTAGTGGTTCTCTGGTACTATTATTTGAAAGGAATAAATATATCATTTAAATTTTATTATTCAAGAAAATTGCCATTACTGTTTATGGAGATCCACTAGATATAAATTTAACGTTCCAACTCGTCTGTTTTCTCAAAGCAAATCATTGCAGTTGCCATTAAGTGAGGCAGTTACAGAAATTTTAAATCATATTTACAAAGAAAGAAAGCCAGAAAAGAGAAAAAATAATGAAAACAGCTTAATACTGATTTTAATGAGCTGGGAAACATAATGGGACCACTGACAAAGAAAATAGGGCAGAAAATGTCTGGTTTTTTGCTTGATTACTATTTCCTCCGACCTCTAGTCCTCAAAGGTGGGGCCTGGTCTTTCTTCTCTTTGTATCCCCAGGGACAGAGACAAGGGTTTGGAGATGGACCTGGGTCTTAGAGGGGGACTCTGCACTAATGCCAGCCAGAAAGCCTACGTTCAGGCCTTGAAAAATTGGATTCAACAGTGCTTTTCATGAGCATTGAATAAATATCTTCTGAAGAAATGAGTAAATAAATGATGAATGAATACAGCTGTATATTAAAGTGATTATATGCAGTCCAAGCACAAGAAGGAGGGGATAAAAACTCAAGACAGTCAACTTGTTCTTCTGCACATAGCTACACAACCGTTTAATCACCTCCTGTTCAGTCCCAAACAATAGATTGTTTTTAATGCTATTAGGGTAAAGGGAAAAAATAAGGTAAAATACCAAGGAGTGGGGAAAGAGGCAGCTCAGAAAAGGGGAGCAGGGTATTCAAAGGTCCTGGGGTAGAAAGAAGAATTGTATTTTCTAGGGTGTAACATAAGTCCAAGGTAGCTTGAATGTAAAAAGCGAGAGAGTAAATGGCATCATTTAAAATAACATAACAGGCAGAACTCACATCAGACAAGGCACCATACATTACATTAAGAATGTATGTCTTGGGGTGCCTGGGTGGCTCAGTGGGTTAAGCCTCTGCCTTCGGCTCAGGTCATGATCTCAGGGTCCTGGGATCGAGCCCCACATCGGGCTCTCTGCTCAGCAGGGAGCCTGCTTCCCTTCCTCTCTCTGCCTGCCTCTCTGTCTACTTGTAATCTCTGTCTGTCAAATAAGTAATAAATTTTAAAAAAAAAAAAAGAATGTATGTCTTCATCATATGAGCAACTAGAAGGCTTTGAAGAGTTTTTAGTGACCCAGTGGCATCACCAATTATGCATTTTGAAAAAATCTCTCTGCAAGAAAAAAAGCACAGAAGCAGGGAGACCGTCACTCATTCATTCAGTAGACATGTTTATTCAGCAACTACTAAGTATCAGGCATTATTCTAGGAACTGGAAATAAAGTACAGAGAATATAAACAAAATTTATTACTCTCATGGGGAAAAAATAAGGCAGAAAAGGGAGGACCTGGCCAAGGGAAAAGAGTGGGTAAATTCTTCTTTTAATGAGGAAGTCACAGAAATAATCACTGAGAAGATATTTAAGCAAAGATCTAAAGCGGGTAAGGAGTCCATCATGCAGAATACTGGGGACTGAGCATCCTAGACAGAAGAGCCAGCCAGTGCAAAGGTCCTGAGGCAGGAACATGCTGGCTTCTGGGGAAACAACAAGGAGGCTAAAGAAGACTGATGAGGAGTTAGCAAGGAAGAGAATAAGAGATTATGCCAGAGATAATAGGGCAAGCTCATATAGGGCCTGGTGAGCTATTAGGCAAACTATGATTTTTACTCTGGTTAAGATAGGAAGCCATGGAGTGTTCTGAGCAGAGGATCACTCTGCCCTCTGAGAAGGGTGTGGATATGTGGGGGCAGAGGCTGGATTGGGGTAGGGAGGTGGCAGAAGCAAAGAGGTTTGTTAGTATGGCGGTGAGTCCAGTAATCCAGGTAAATGATGGTGGTGGCTAGGTCCGGGGGTAGAAATGGAGGGGATGAAAAGACATGTGTCAGGGTATATTTGAAAGAGCCAAGGAGAGCTGCTGACAGATCGTATGTCTAATGTAGGAGGAAGAGGGGAGGCAAGGCTTTTGCCAGGAATAGCCTGAAGGTTGAAGCAGCTATTAACTGAAATGTGGAAAATTGAGATGGAATACTTTTTGGGGGAAAGGTCAAGAGTTTGTGTTTTGCATATGATGTGTTTAAAGTGCCGGTAAGACCTCTCCTTTAATGGGATTGGTAGTGAAGACGAGCAGAGAAAGAAGGGATTCAGCTAACGATGAAATGAGGCCAAGAGGAGTCATTGTTAAGGAGAAACAGATTCGGATCAGGTGGTCCAGGCAAAGAGGACACAGGCGAGGCTCAGGTGGTGGCAGTCCAGTCCCTGAAACCATGTGGTCAGCACCAAGGCTCCAAGACAAGCCAGCTCTGGCTGGAGCTGCATCCGCCAGGAGGAGGGCTCCCCTAGGGTCCACCCAGGGCACCCCCGTGCCAAGGGATGCCTGTGCTTCGATGGAGATGAAGGAGAGTATGTGAGTTCAGACACACCCAGGAGGTGAAAATCAGCAGCGCTTGACCAAAAGCTATAAGTAAACAAATCTAGGATGAAAAACTAAGGTAAAACTCAGAAACAGGGAAGGTTTGTCAAATTTGCTCAGAAAGCAAAATTAGGAAATACTGTTAAATTTTTGTTGATCTAATGTACACTGCTTTCAATTCCAGGGACACGGTAGAATATTTATAGAACATTTAAACCACCCGTGTAATGCTACAGTGCCTCACTAAGGGAGGGCAGTATTTAGAAACTGTTGCATTTATTTGTGTATATATGGATACATATGGACATGATCAGTTTCTGGGAAAAGACGCTGCCATATATGTAGCCAAGTTACCTCTCCATGGTGGAATTTCCGGTGACTTTCTTTTCTTTCTTTCTTTTTCTTCTGTTTACTTTCGAAGTTTTAATTATCATGTTTTATTTCACGACTTAAAAATCAGGATATCCGGGGCTCCTGGGTGGCTCAGTGGGTTAAGCCTCTGCCTTCAGCTCAGGTCATGGCCTCGGGGTCCTGGGATCGAGTCACGCATCGTGGGGGGGGGATCTCTGCTCAGCGGGAGCCTGCTCGCCGCCCCACCCCCCACCGCCCGCCGCCTGCCTTTCTGCCTACTCGTGCTCTCTCTGTCTGTGTCAAATAAATAAATAAATAAATCTTTAAAAAAAAAAAAAACAGGATATCCATTTTGTCCCTCAAGACAGAAAATGAAAGAGGCAACAAAAACCCTGTGAGATGATTTAGTGGGTCAAACTCTTGCTAGGTTGCTGGCTTCGTCTTTAAGCTATGGGATGTCGAAACTATTAATATGAAGATTGTAATCTGAGTTAAAATGAGATAAAAAATTGATGTCTTTAAAAATCATAAATAAGAAATACAAGTTATGTTTGCTGTGCAGATTAATTAACAACAGGATCTAGAATATTATATCAGGCTTTCTGAATATTTTCTGTCGTTACTGGGGAGAAGCAAGATGGAGAGGAAAAACAATAATTTGTTGAGGCCAAGTCAGCTGGAGCGGAGGGGCAGTGAGGACTCAAGGGCCCAGGAAGCCCATCTTTCCTTTGATTTGCATTCGGACTGATGCAATCTCTAGCCTAGAATAAAATTTGTCGCTTCATTTTCTTGGTCTCAGTGAAGCCCACCCCAAATCCCATGTATTTATCTTTTGTAAATTATGTTTATTTTTAATATTGTATGCTCATGATTCTTTTATATGCCGAATGTCACACTTTGCTGATGGCGTGAGACCATCCCTGCATCCAGCATTTATTTTTTATTTCCTATGGTATTTTGTCAGTCTGCCGGCGTCTCCACAGTCCTATATTGTATGTGTTCTCCTCCTCCTTCCCAGGCACAGTCCCAGCTTGGATCATTTGCCACTTCAGCTTGGAGATGATGGTCATGGGTAGCTCACTGTTGGTAGACTGTAAACCCCTGTGGGCCCAGAGCTCTTAACCCTTCTGGTTCAGCATGCCATTGAATTAGCGAGCCAGAATTCAGAGCAGCCAGGGTATTAGCGGACAACAAGGGGGGCAAGCCTGAGCATCAAGGGGGCAAGCCTGACCATCCAGTGAAACCTGGAGCAAAGAAATGACAAGAATTTCTTTTCTTTTCCTTCTATAGGAAGCTTACAGATTCGGTACAACCTGGGCGGCACCAGGGAGCCCTACAACATTGATGTAGATCATAGGAACATGGCCAATGGACAACCCCACAGCGTTAACATCACCCGGCACGAGAGGACCATATTTCTCAAGGTATACGTACTGTACGCTCACCGAGTGTATGTGATACTGTATTACAATCTCTACCCTCTCTTGTACTTGGGCGCTGGCTTTGTTTTGGGGACTTAAGTGTAAGATGCCTATTACACTTTCTCCTACAAAGTCCTAACCAGGGAAGTAGAACCATGTATGGATACTAAAGGAAAGACAATGACGGAGTTAACAGTGAGGACATTTCTCAGGGAGAGGGTGGGATGTTTGCTGTGTATATTCCTTGCACCTCGCTGCTTTTAGACTCACACATCTATCAGCCTCCTGTTTTTATCCATCACACCATCTTTTTTCTCCATGCTCTCAGATGCCTGAAGCTTACCATGTTTCCCAGCAAAGGTTATTTTGGTTTATCTGACCTACTTTCACTACTCCAACACAATATGAATAACTATTTTTTTTTTCTCTGTGGATGCTTTGCCCGAAAAATTCTCAAAACACAGACCTTCCCCAGAATCTCAGACTCCGGTTGTAGGCTTTCAGCACACAAAGGGATGGTTTTATTACGACAGTCCAGTTTTATTTCAGGTTCATTGATTGTCCCTACCCCCACCACCGATTTTCACAATGAAGAAACCAGCCTGGGAGGCACCATGAATAAAACATAGCATGAGGAAGTCTCCCTGGGAACGAAGCCAAAAGATCAAGGATGGGAACTGTCACTGCATTCTCTAGAAGGAGTTCAAAATAGATATCTGTCAGGGAAGAGAACAGCAGGGGGATACTGTTTTGTCAGAGGGTGGAGTGCCATTTGGCAGGGTTCAGCACAGTCAGACCTCATTCGGATTCGGCCGGCTGCTGTGGCAAGTTCGGGTTGCAAAGAAAGGGCCCAAGTCCTGTCCGTGTTTGAGCAGCGGAGGATGTCAAATTCATAACTTGATACGGAGTTTACGCTTGGCCTTTAGCAGGAAATGCGAGAGGGTATTTTAAGGACAGGTCTTTCCTAGGAAATTGACAACGTGCAGTTACAGTTTCTCGTGCAATCAATCAAATAGGTGTAAAGAAGATTGCCCCCACGGTGGTGGGCAGGGTCCCCGAGCCCAGCGCGGTGCCTGGCTCATCTGGGAAGCTGCAGATCATGTACTGGGCAAAAGCAAGTCCATCTTGAACCGTAACTCCAGGTTTATTCCGAAAAGCCAGCAAGACCAGGAGGGGTACACTTTATATCATTATAGGATTAGGATGGTTTTGTACCATTTTTTCATTATGTGTATTGGCTTTTAATTAGAAACATTCCCTCATTTTAAACCATGCCATCTGTCACCTCTTTTCAAGTGACGTCTCTTGCTATTGCGGCATTATGGAATAATGTTAGAAGTTAAAAAGAGGGGTGCCAGGGTGGCTCAGTCGGTTAAGCCTCTGCCTTCGGCTCCGGTCATGATTCCAGGGTCCTGGGATCGAGCCCTGCATCGGGCTCCCTGTTCAGCGGGGAGCCTGCTTCTCCCTCGCCCACTCCCCCAGCTTGTGTTCCGTCTCTGGGGGGAGCCACAGCCACAGGGGAGGACCAGGTGAGTGGGAGGGGGGACCAGAGCTAGAGCCATTTCTGGATATATTTCCCAAAATGAGGTCCAGAGGAAAGACAAGTAAGGCAGCCCCCCTCCTGGCACATTCGGCCAACTGGGGATTCTTCAGAACTAGCGAGCCACCCTTTTTTGTTTTTGTTTTTGTTTTTAAAATTTTATCTATTTATTTGAGAGAGGGAGAAAGCAAGCTCAAGCAGGGGAATGACCAGAGGGAGAGGGAAAAGCAGACTCCCGCTGAGCAGGGAACCCCCTGAGGTGGGGCTTCATCCCAGGACCCCGGGATCATGACCTGAGCCAAAGGCAGATGTGTAACCAACTGAGCCACCCAGGTGCCTCCTAACCAGCAACCCTTTAAGAACAAATATGAGCTTAATCAGAGCTGCTACCTGCCACAGAATTAGAGATTGCCCTGAAGACAGGGAGAGGGGGCGGGGTTGGGAGAGGGATAGGCTGTTTTAGGAACTTGGGGATTTTGAGGCATGGAAAGCCAGAGAAGTCTAGAGAGCAGGAGACTGAGGGCTGGGGGTGGTGTGGGGGGAGTCCGGTTCTACTGCTCAGAGCTCTTGTTGTTGCAAGTGACTGAAAACCAATTTGGAACTCATTTGTAGGGAGAATTCCTAGTGTAGGTCATGGAATTTAAGAAAGGACAAACTAATATTCTAGAAGAAAATCCAGGGGACCTGGAGGACTACAATGAAGACTAGAAGCTGTTGACCCTCTCCCGCCCCTCCCTCTTCCGTGCCTTGATCCCTCTATTATCTCTGCTTGACAGCCCCTCTATGAGGACGGGGCTACTACCTCCTCCTGCAGGCTCCCTCTGTTACATATGGTAGAAGGCAAACACAGGAGCACGGGCCAGACTCACGTCTCAGTTCTGCTACCAGAAGAAGGTGTCTTGGTTCTCATTTCAAAACCTCAGGGAAGGTCTGTGACTGGTCGGGCTTGTGTTGTGTGTTGATCTGTTGGAAGGAGAGACAGTGATGCTGGGCAGCCCCAGTGAGATGCTTGGGGGTGAGGGAGGGAACTGGGGAGAATCCTCCAAAAGAATAGGAATGTGGTTCCAGAAAAGAAGACATGAGAGGGGTGAAAACGGGCTGCGCCACGCTTTGAGGTTACAAACAGCATAGAGTCGGGAAGCACCCCGAAATCATGGAATTCTGCCACAGGAATTATACCGAGTGTGGTGGAGGGTCCTGCCCTCTGTCCTTCTGTCGTATGGAACAATGCAATTGCACTGAAATTTCTGGATGTGTTTAGAAAGCCAGATGCCTCAACCCACTTGAATTCAGCCAGAAAAGACCTCATGGCTGCTGGTGCGCCGGTCTTTCTCAGCCTCTCCATCCCAGCTCAGATGGAAAATAAAGCTAGGATGATGGCAGAAGAAAAGATATGGAAAAGTAGGTCAGAAGACTCCCTGCCCTGCTGTCTTTCTGGTGGGAAGGCCTTGTGGAGAATGCAGGTAAATCTGAAGGTACCTTTAGAACACTAGAAACTGACCTTTTTTCGGGAAGCCATCTACAAATTCATCTTAAGAACGTCTACAACTTCAAGAATGTGTGGGAGAGATAACAGGAAAATGTTCATCTTCATTATTTCTGTGTGGAGGGATTATAAATGGCTTGTTTTCCTCTAGAGTTTTCTGTATTTCCTCATTTTCTCTTATAAGCATGCGCGGCAATTTCTGAGGGGGCACATGTTGCATTTTTATAATCAAACAAAAATAGGAAACATACAGATACCTTCCATCCATTCTGAGAGCCCCCAACTGTATAACAAAATATAATGACAAAGATATTCAGATAATTTCAAATTAAAATGCACTTCTAATCAAAGAACAAAAATAAGGCAGATTCAACCCTGAATATAAAATGCTGTGGAATGATGCCTCTGGAATTAAGGTGAAATTTTACACATTTATATATACATGCACAAACAACACATCATCCCAACGATGTTTATCAGTGTTTACGGTGTTTTTAAAAGAAGGTTTACTTCCCTAGCTGGGCTAAAGCTAACATTAAATTAATTTGCATTCCCTGAGCACATACTGTCTGAAATGGTGCTGAGCCCTTGAGGGAAATTGACCTTGGATGAAACATTTGCTGCCAAAACACAAAGTGCCCAATCTCCACATAGATAACGAGGAGCTGACTCCAGGAGTCATCAGACACCGGCGTGAGCCAGAGCCCGTGACAACCCTCGAGTGGCGTCCTTTATGAAAACTCACAGTTGCACCAGGGATAATAGCTGAAGGCTTCCCGCCAGTCAAGATGTAAGACAAACCCCGGGCGGGCGGAGAGCACCTGAGAGAGTCCTGTACGCGATGAAAATTCATGCCGATTAGATGACGCCAAGAGCCAAACATCACGAGGAATGATTTCAAAGTCTTGGGTCACAAAGCCCTTCTTCTCGCTTTCCTTCCTGCCTGCCGTCCCGGGCTTGTTTCTGCTCCCTTCCCTTCTTTTCGTCCCCCATCCCGCTGCTGGAGGGACGTCGGGTGGCTCGCGGGCGGTCTGAACAGTGACAGGGGGCGGAAGTAAGTCCCAAAGGTATACGTGTATTTCTTCCATGCCCTGGATTATATTTGCTGGCTGGGAAGCTGCCCCGGTCCCCCTGGGCAATGTCACGTCCATGAGCATGGCTCACATTCATGGGCGTTCGCTGTGTCCTCGGCGCTGAGCTAAGGAGGTCAAATGCGTCCTCTCATTCGGTCCTCACCGGAACCGTGTCAGATGCGCAGCGTTACGGTCCGCGTTTAGAGATGTGGAAACCGAAGCTCCGATCGTCTGACATAACTCGCCTCAAGGTTAAGAGTGGGAAGCTGCCGAAACACAGATGGACCTAGGTCAGTCCCACTTTTGTCCCCACGTGCTCCTAACCATCCCTTAGTAGCGAGGTGTCTGGAAGGATGGGAGCTGGCTTGGAAAGCGGATGCCTTCAGGGGCACTTGGTGGCTCTGCCCATTGAGCGTCCAGCTCTTGATTTCGGCTCAGGTTGTGATCCCAGGGTCCTGGGGTCAGGCCCTGTATCGGCTCCCCACGCAGTGGGGAGTCTGTCTGGGGAGTCTCCCTCCGCCTCTGCCCCTCCCCCCACTTGCAAGCACACCGACGCACCCTCTCTCTCAAATAAATTTTAAAATCTTTACAACAATAAAGAAAGTGGATACCTGTGGCTGGTAAGAATTTGAGTGGTATAACAACAATAATGACCATAATTGTTATTAGTATGAAATAGTTCAAAAATATGCAAAAGCAGAGAGAATAATAATATGTATTTACCAGCTGAACATTACAAATTTGGGGATTTTGCTCTGTTTCTTCAGACTTTTTTTTTTTTTTTTAATGCAGTGATAGTCAAGGCTGTTGGTCCTCCTTGTTACACGGTGAGCCCTGAGAAAGGCAGTGGACAGTGCCTTGAGGAACATTCCTGGCAAGAGTGTTTTCCACAAGGCCGATCAAT